GATAGATAGATAGATAGATAGATAGATAGATAGATAGATAGATAGATAGATAGATAGATAGATAGATAGATAGATAGATAGATAGATAGATAGATAGATAGATAGATAGATAGATAGATAGATAGATAGATAGATAGATAGATAGATAGATAGATAGATAGATAGATAGATAGATAGATAGATAGATAGATAGATAGATAGATAGATAGATAGATGTAGACAGACTTTGATCTACTTGTTATATATAATGTTTATATCAGTAAGAACTAAGGTTTCATTACTTAAACATGTTTTATGTTTAGTAACAGCTGGTCTTCAAAAATAATATGAAAGCAAAATAATGGCAGCGGTCCAGACAGTATGGTCCACTGTGTTATGCACGACTATATTGCTGCACTACAAAACTGCACACGCAAATGTAAAAATAGAAGCCATTTGATTTAAACATGTGGCGGCGTTGCACCTTTACATAGTCTCAAGTGTCAGTGGGCAGAAGGCTGCCAGCTCTGGTGAATATCTCCCTGCAGATATCTGACAGCCAGGTCACATACGAGGCAGTTCAAATCGTGTCTGTGCTGAACATCAAGGTCGAAAAAGTGCTAGAAATCATCTACCACTAAATATGTATCTACTCACTTCAAAATTAATAACTTCATCAGTTTTTATTTATTTGAGATTTATCAAGCTATGATAGTTTTACTGCAAAGTTTAAAATAATGTTTACCATTACCGTTTGTCCTAAAAAAAAACATGCATTTAAAAAGGAAGTAACAATAATTCACAAAATGTTAACCCTTGGATTATACCAGCAGTGTGACCGTATTTTTCACTGTATAAGCCAGTTTTTTGCATAAATTACAATGCCTGCAACTTATACAGCGAATCAACGCATTTGAAACAAAGCTAACAATTAACTGTTTTTAGGTGGTCATCTTGTTAAATTTTGAAGAAATGCACAGCGAGTCTTCCCTCTGTGTGCTCCTGCTTCCGTGAATCGGCTTTTGAAATTCAGCTGATTTGACCATCAAAGTACATTTATTAAGGAAAAGTTCAACTCATACTTGTTTTTAAGTGTTAATCTTGGTAAACTCTTGTTAAAGTCCTCCCGTGCACGCTCCCGCCATTTGGCAGCCAATTGATTTTTGGCACGACACCTGCCTACATTTCCAGGTGGTCAGCGGTGACGCGTAAAGAACGCGACGCGTCAGCGGTGACACATAATAGATGTGACATACAGCAAAGCAACATATTTATGTTTTTTTTTTTTTTCCATTTTATGAGACATATTTGGACTGATGCGACGTACAGGTCCTTCTCAAAAAATTAGCATATTGTGATAAAGGTAATTATTTTCCATAATATAATGACAAAAATGAAACTTTCATATATTTCAGATTCATTGCACACCAACTGAAATATTTCAGGTCTTTAATTGTTTTAATACTGATGATTATGGCATACATCTCATGAAAACCCAAAATGCCTGTCCCAAAAAATTAGCATATCATGAAAAGGTTCTCTAAACAAGCTATTAACCTAACCATCTGAATCAACGACGTAACTCTAAACACCTGCAAAAGATTCCTGAGGCTTTTAAAAACTCCCAGCCTTGTTCATTACTCAAAACCACAATCATGGGTAAGACTGCCGACCTGACTGCTGTCCAGAAGGCCATCATTGACACCCTCAAGCAAGAGGGTAAGACACAGAAAGAAATTGCTGAACGAATGGGTTGTTCCCAGAGTGCTGTATCAAGGCACCTCAGTGGGAAGTCTGTGGGAAGGGAAAAGTGTGGCAGAAAACGCTGCACAACGAGAAGAGGTGACCGGACCTTGAGGAGGATTGTGGAGAAGGGCCGATTCCAGACCTTGGGGGACCTGCGGAAGCAGTGGACTGAGTCTGGAGTAGAAACATCCAGAGCCACCGTGTACAGGCGTGTGCAGGAAATGGGCTACAGGTGCTGCATTCCCCAGGTCAAGCCAATCTTGAACAAGAGACTGGTCAGAAGCATCTCGCCTGGGACTGCTGCTGAGTGGTCCAAAGTTATGTTCTCTGATTACAGTAAATTTTGCATTTCCTTTGGAAATCAAGGTCCCAGAGTCTGGAGGAAGAGAGGAGACACAGAATTCACATTGCTTGAGGTCCAGTGTCAAGTTTCCACCGTCACTGGGGTGCCATGTCATCTACTGGTGTTGGTCCACTGTGTTTTATCAAGGGCAGGGTCAATGCAGCTATCAGGAGATTTTGTAGCACTTCATGCTTCCATCTGCTGAAAAGCTTTATGGAGATGAAGATTTCATTTTTCAGCACGACCCGGCACCTGCTCACAGTGCCAAAACCACTGGTAAATGGTTTACTGACCATGGTATTACTGTGCTCAATTGGCCTGCCAACTCTCCTGACCTGAACCCCATAGAGAACCTGTGGGATATTGTGGAGAGAAAGTTGAGAGACGCAAGACCCAACACTCTGGATGAGCTTAAGGCTGCTATCGAAGCATCCTGGGCCTCCATAACACCTCAGCAGTGCCACAGGCTGATTGCCTCCATGCCACGCCACATTGAAGCAGTCATTCATGCAAAAGGATTCCCGACCAAGTATTGAGTGCATAACTGAACATGATTATTTGAAGGTTGGCGTTTTTTGTATTAAAAACACTTGTCTTTCATTGGTGGGATGAAATATGCTAATTTTTTGGGACAGGCATTTTGGGTTTTCATGAGCTGTATGCCATAATCATCAGTATTAAAACAATTAAAGACCTGAAATATTTCAGTTGGTGTGCAATGAATCTGAAATATATGAAAGTTTCATTTTTATCATTACATTATGGAAAATAATGACCTTTATCACAATATGCTAATTTTTTGAGAAGGACCTGTATACGGCAATGCGACGTGCACGGCGGCAAGTATGGTACATAGTCAGCTACAGGACAGTCCCACTTGGAGCTGCAGGGCTTGTTTGTCTTGTTAATGACACTTGGAGAGAACAGACACAAGCTGATGTGCAGGTTTGCTTCCATTACAGGCACTTCTACCAACTTTGTTTCTCTTAATGTGCCCACATGTCTGCATGCATTTGATAGAAGCAGAAAACATCCATTGTGCTGGCTGTCAGTCAGAAAAAGATCTGACACAGAATCTCCCACTTGTGCCTGCTTGCAGACACTTTCCGTCTAACAGTCACAGATGGAGAGTGGGAGCTGTTGTTCAGGGATCGCCTTTTTTGTCGTTATGCTTTAGGTTACTGCCCACCTCTTTCTAGATTTTGCTAAATCATTTTAGAAGTTTGTGGATGCATGTTTCCTAACTTTCAAAAAAGAGTCAAACCAAGGATAGTTTTTTCAACTTGTTCAGATCAATAGAGTATTCTTGTTTTAGTTTTGAAAGAGCAAAAGAAATCAAGCTATTAATGGTCTGAGACAATGCTGTCAAGTTTTTAGAAAATCCACAGGTTTTAGAAATTGGTTTTCAAACACCGATTAAAGCATACTAATAAAAAGGTGCTGTTTTGAATAGGTTTTTGCTCAGTGACTGTGTTTGTCTGTGGAAACTGGCACTGAAGGAGCACAGATGGGAGCCAGCCACACTCATCTTCATGTTCCCCATCTTCCTCGCATAATTATCACATCTAACCTCACAGCGTTCTCTACTTTTCCATCTCATTTCTCACATTTAGGGCTATTTTTTGACTGCTCTGTATTGCTACTACACTGCAGTCTTCCCGTTGTTGCACTTAGTTCATACAGCAGCTTTTGTGCTGTTATTTAGCAATGTTGGCAGTGATGAATCCATCTGAAACCCTTATTGTCTGTTTGACACGCCTAATGATAATGATGACTGTTCAGCATGAGCGCATAATCTTTACTGTCACCTGACACCACGATCTACAGTGAACCAGAGAACAAAGATCTACATTTGACAGAGAGTTACATTTTCCAGCTAGCAGTAGTCTGTTTACAAAGAAGAAATGAGTCATTGCAAGCCACACAGCTGTGTTTAAATTAGCTGAATCAAATATAGTCATACTTTTTCAGTGGGGTTCTGTGGAAAGGCTAA